TGCTTTGGGTTCTACATGAGCTGCCTTCTGCCTCTTTCTCAGACCTCATCTCCTACCTGTGCCAATGCTTCAACCTCATTCCTACCTGGTGGTTCCTCCGCCTGAAATATGTCCCCCCAGTTGAATCTTCTCACAAATGGTCCCTTTCATCTCGCAGTTTGTCACATAAAAGTGACCTCCTTATGAGGCTTTCTTTGGTAGCTGTTTCTAAAACACTCTAACTTGATTAGCCCAAGCACATCACCCTATTTTATTATCATTATAAGTTTAACATCTGAAATGACCTTGTTCCTACTTGTTTATTTTTTGTAGTCTCTCTCCTACTCATAGGATGCAAATTCTGCGAGAGCAAAAACCATGTCGGGTTCACCGCTATGTCCCTAGAGCCTAAAAGAGGGCCTGGCCACCCGTAGTCGTGTAGTAAATCCTGAGAGAATGAATGAGTCCCCATCCCGTCCACCAGGGGCAGCTCAGCATCACGGAAGTGCAGGGACCCTGGAGACAGTGCTCACCTATTGTGTGGTCTTAGGCACTTTAACCTCTCAGACAGAGGCTCTTTTCTCATTGTGAAAGTGTGGATAGCAGTACCTACCCCTAGGATTGCTGAGCAAATAAAGTGAGATCATATATTTATATATACAAGATAAAGTCCCTACCTAGTAGCCCCTCAGTAAATGGTAGTGATGACTTTCTTGAGAGGCAGTCTGGCTGCATAGCCTTCCACCTGGTCACCTGCCGCTCAACCCCGTGCCTGTCTCTACTTTATTCCTGGCTGCATGTGGCTGATCATCTCCATCCCTTGGCTCCTCCAAGGCTGGAATCAAGAAAGAGATCCTAACTCTTCAGGTCACACAGTTCCTTGCACTCTGCCCTAGTTTCTCATCTGAGGGACTTAGTTTGCCCCTTAGTTCACCTTATTAAGCACCCATGTGTGCCAGGCGTCTAGAAGGCCCCTTTTGGAGCTCAGACCAATTCTGTGGACTCTGGGATGCCCCTTAGCACACTGATTAGTCCTTGCAATCTGGCCGTCTTGAGAAGCAGTAGCTCCAGAGGGACTGGGGTCTGGTCCAGAGTTTTCCATGGGGCAAGAGGTGCTGTCCGGGAACTCGGTGGGCAAGGGGGCTAGAAGCAAACCCGCTGACTTCACAGTGGAACAAAACTGGCTCCCTCCCTTCATCTAAGAAAGAGGCCCTCTATCCCTTCTTTTCTGGCTCTTATTTATTCACTCACTCCTTTGTTCAGACTGTAACAGGCAGTAGCCTGGAGCAAGGCCCTGAGCTAACAATTCAGAGATGAACAGACGAGGCATGACCCTTGTTTTTGGAAAAGAATTCGTGGATGAATGGACTAGACGGATGTAAATGGTCTGTGACAACATGTGGTCCAGTTGACAAAGTCCAAGATTCGTGATCCACTGGAGCTAATTCGTTTCTCCCGCCCCCGAATGCCATGACCCTTATAACAGAGGGGAGAGTAAGGTATGGGCCACCTAGGTTGGGCTGACAGACTCTGCCTGGTGAGCTGGGAAACCTCCAGAAGGGGCGGTGGCCTCTCTCTCTTTAGCTCCTCTGTTTCTGCTCATCACTCCCCCTCCCCCATTTCTCTGCCCCATCCCTTCTCTTTCATTTGCTGCCCTTGAAAAAGCATAAAGAACTTTGGGCCCCTCCTTCTCTGGTACCAGCTCCAAGGCTTTGTGCAAGGTTACCCAAACCTCCTAGAGATTCAGGGAGTGGATCGCAAAGCCCCGAGTCTTCTCCACATCAGGTTTCTAATCTTGTCCTCATCCCTGTCACCTGCCCTCCTGTGTCACATTTCTCTTGTAACCCCAAAGCTCAGGCTCAGAGGTAAAAGAATGAAGCCCCAGATGTAAAACAACAACAGTCAAGATCAATGTCAGAATAAGTCCAGCCTTTTACCTGTATTTCTCAAACACCGGGAAGGGGACACAAGGTCTGTGCAGGTCCGTGCACACTGTGGGGCACATGAGCAGGGGAAGGGGAGAGACTGGACAAATTGAGTTGATTGTTTTTGTTCCGTCACAGGCTGAAAACAAATGTAGTGTCCCACAGCTGGGATGGGGTTTTGGGAAAGGTCAGGTTCAGGTGGGAGGCAGTGGTTCTTTGGAATCAGGACCTCCCTTCCATGTCCTCTTCAGAGTGCCCATGTGAGTTGTTACCGCCTCCACTGCCCGCCTGTCCACTGCCCCCAGCCTGTGACCGAGCCGCAGCAGTGCTGTCCCCGCTGTGTGGGTAAGTGGCCTCTCTCTCTTCGGCTCCTCTGTGTTTGCTCATCACCCTCTCTCTCTGCTTCTCTGCCCCATCCATTCTCCCCCTTGCCTGCTGACCCCATCCCAATGCAGGCCTCTAGCTAAGAGGCGCCTTTGGCATGAGAGGGGGCAGTCTCTACTGTCAGAGGTGTTGAGATGACAAAGGTATTCAGAGGAAGAAACATCCCAATCCCCACGGAGGGCTGGGGTAGCAGCAAATTTCTCATTCTTAAGTAGCTGGGCTTGGCAGAAGGAGGGAGAAAATGTGGAAAGTGGCTGAAGGTAACAGGGGCGTGCTTGGCCTGTGGACGGCACACTTGGGCTCCAATCTCTCTCTGGTTGGCCGGAGCTGGAGGGGGTGGACATGCCCTGTGTAAGTGGGGGTGAGTAAGCAGGGGCCCAGAAGCCCTGGAGGGAGATGCCAGGAGTCCCATCCTGGGGCTGGGAATGACTACAGGAGTTGGAGTACATGTATTTGGAGATTTCTCCCAGTGCCGAGGTTCAGGGACCCTATGTGTCTTGATGCTAAATGCTTATGATTCTATGATTTTAAGATTCTAAGAGCCTCTGAGACTGGGATTCTAGGAAGTGAAGGTAAAAGAGAGAAGAGGAGAGGTGGTCTGAGCAGGAACTGGCATTACCAAGTGTATATGTAACCACGTGGCCAATGAGGGGCAGCCAGTGGGGAGACCAACATAATGGTAGGGAGATACTGAGAGGAGAATTAATGCTTAGAAGCATCAGGAAGGTGATAAAAGAGGGCTCCAGACTATGGTCTCCGGCTCTGGAACCAGGGCTCTCCTGGTGAGCTGGGGACCCGTGTGGAGTATGTGTGCAAAGGGGCTCATTTTCCATGCAGAACCCCAGTAGAGATCTGACCATGGCTCTGGCTCGGGTCACAGATGTTCCTGGCTCTCGGTCCCCTTGGGGAGTAGGGGCTCTGAGCTTCATCCTGTCCCATGAGGGCCTCCTCCATGGCAGAGGCTCACTCCAGGAGTCCTTACCTCTCCTTGCTGATTTTGTGCATTGGCTCCTTCCTTCTTACATGCTCCTCTCTCCCTCTCCGTGCCCTGCCCCTTTGCCCACCTGGCTGTACATGTTCCTCATAACTCAGCTCAGCCATCAGCTCCTTTGGAAAGCCCTCCCTGCCCAACCCCCCACCCCACCCCCCCCCCGGCCGAGTTAGGGGCTCCTTCTCTGTGCTGCCATGACTTCTGTGCTGCCCTTACTTCTACAGCAGCACTGCTCGTAGGGTATTTCTCTAACCCCTCAGAATGTGAGAGTCCTGCTGGGAGGGGCTGGGTCTTACCCAGCACTCCTATTCCTAATGCCTAGCCTGGTGCCTGCTACAGAGAAGGTGCTTGGTAAAGGTGTCTTGAGGGAATGAGTGGGTACTCTCAGGAATGGAGACTTATCCTGCTACCTGGCAGGATGAGGACTGGCTAGTTGGCAGGTGCTGACAAGTGGGGCTATGGTGGCCAGTGAATGACAGGAGCTTACACCAAGCACAGGGATAGTCTAGATCATTCCAGCTGACTCTACTAGGATATAACTCTGTGTGGGGCCTCGTTTTGTTCACTGCTGTATCCCCACCACCTAGGACAGTGCCTGGCACTAGAGGGGACTCATGGATATGCTCATTGAATGTTAAGGGAACTAATGCAGGTCCCCACTGAGTGGGGCTTTGTGGAGCTGAGGCTTCTGGCACTTGTCAGGGCCAGCTCAGACACTGAGGGGCTGAAAGGCCTTGGTGGGGACCCAGCAGAGGGAGCAACATGGTCAGATGTAGTTATCAGTGAGACCTCTCAATTAGCTAATATGGGGACTGGCTGGCAGGGCTGAAGCCAGAGCTTGGTTTAAATGCCAAGACAGGATAAGATGCGAAATCTTCGGAAAAGTGGCCAGTGAATTTTGACAAAGCTTTTGGAGTAATGTGAAACCTCAACTTTTTCTTCTTCCTGCCCCGCCTCCACTTGAAGAACCTCACACCCCCTCTGGGCTCCGGGCCCCCCCAAAGTACTGTCAGCACAATGGGACCATGTACCAACACGGAGAGATCTTCAGTGCCCACGAGCTGCTCCCTTCCCGCCTGCCCAACCAGTGTGTCCTCTGCAGCTGTACCGTAAGACCTTCCGCCTTCTTGTGAGCACAGGCTGGCACAGATCGGCCGGCAAAGCGTAATGGTGTGGTATGGTGGGGGAGAGGGGGGGGATTGTTCCTCTCTGGTCAAAGCAAAGTGAGAGTGAACGGGCTCAGCGGGGAGGGAATCTCTGGGGTTTGGAATCTCTGGGCTTCCGCATCCTCCGCACGGTTACCACAGTTACCTCGTACTGACATTTGCCCATTTCTGTTTCCCCCAGTAACTCTACACTCCTCAAATAGAGGGAGCATACCCAATTCGTTGTGTCCTCTGCTCCTACCAGCCCAGGGCCTGGTACACAGATGTGTATAATGATTGTTGAATGAATAAGTGAATGAGTGAATGATCAGCCCTGGGGTACGGAGACAGGGTCAGACTGCTTGTTGCAAATAGATTTAATCTGAAGTTGCTTATACTCCACCTGCTGGGGTCAGGGTTGGGCCTGGGGACAGGCAGAACTGACCCTGCAGTGTTATCAGGGGACAGAGACTAAAGCCAAGCGGGGCCAGATCTGGAAAGTCTTCACCCTTCCCCTTGGGCTTAAGTGTGGCCCTGCTATAGGTTTACAGGTGGCTTTCGCCATGGCATTCTTACCCTGGAGTTTAACTCATCTGTGCATTGGTCGGAGAAACTCCTGCTCTCCTGATTTCCATACTGTCTGCTCATCAAACTTCTCTGGGCCTCACTTCCTTCCAGTGTGGGAGGGAGTCTGACCAGGTGATCACCAACGTCCTGTTTAAAATAATAATCTGATTTAGCAGTGACACAAGAGTAAGAGGCCTAGATTAGACGTCAGACACCCATGTTTGAGCTCCAGCTCTGCCACGGTTCCCTGTGTGACCTTGATCTAGTCACTTCCCTGGGGCCTGTGTCCCCATCCATCTTTTCAGGGACAGGATCCTATCAGTCTGAGATTCAGAATCTTAAAGTATCTGTGCTGCAGAGCAAACAACTTACAAATGACAAAGAGTGACCACTTATAAATCAACCTAGAGAGCAATTATTTTTGTAGGGCTTGAGCCTCTTCCAGAGGTCTGATACATTATACCTGCTGGTTCATGGGAATGCCTTGTGTTTATAAACAGTACCCCAAAGACCCTAGGAAAAGGATATTACGGTACTTATTTTCAGATGAGGAAACTGAGGCTCAGATCAGTTAAGCAACTTGCCTGAAATCACACAGCTAATTAAGTGGCAGAGCCAGAATTCAGATGTAGGGCCACATGACTCCAAAATTCATGTTCCTTTCCCCGTGCTGTGCTGCTTCCTGTAAAGGGACAAGGGCCTGGATGAGGAGGAGTCTGTGGAAAGAGACAGAAGTGATGGCATGGCCTTAGGGTGGTGAGAACATTCTTTTGATTCCTTGTCCCTTCTCCTTGGATACTTGGATCTCCCCTTCTTTCTTCTCCTCCTTGTTTAAATGGGACTGGCTTGACTCCTGGCCTCCTGAGGCTCACTGGAAAAGGAATAGGGAAAGGACTCAAGGTAATATCACTTCCTCCCAGGTACATCATGCCTTCCAGTTTAAGAAGGGTTTTCACAACCATTCCCTCACTTGATCTTCACAACCCAGATGGGAGTGTCCCCATTTCACAGAGGAGGAAATTGAGGCCCAGAGAAGAAAAGTGACTCACCACAGGTCATCTGGCTTCTGATTCCCAGAAGGCTCTTTCCTCTACAGTGTTGCCTCTCTAGGCTGGGTCCTGAAGCTGGGGACCTAGGGTTTTCAGTCAGAGCAAGATGATCCCAGGATGTATCCCACTGATCCCCCTCCTCTCTGCTGGGCCCCCTGTTCCAGGTCAGGGGGAAGGGTGTTGACTTCAGCCCGCAGGCTGGGCTCTAATCCATTCTGCTGGGTTGCATCTCTGACTTCAGGCAGTTCAGGCAGCTCTCCAGGCTCTCCACTTCTATAGGATGGAAGAATCCCACCTCCCCAGCTTGCTGTGAGAGCCTAGGCAGAGACAGGGTCTGAAAGCACTTTACAAGCTGAAGGATGAATGCTAACTAACGCGGGGCCAGGGGAGGGGGAGGGATTGGTTGGGTATAGGGGATCCTTCCTCTGAGTTGGCTGGGCCTTGCCCAGGATGCTTGGCTGCTCCCTCCCACCCCCACCTCAGGGGACACCTCAAGGCAATTTGCCCTCAGGGCAGGGGGGCTCTCCTCACCCCAAGGCTGCCCCTCATCACTCATCTCCTATTTGCTCTGTCAGGAGGGCCAGATCTACTGTGGTCTCATGACCTGCCCAGAACCAGGCTGCCCCGCACCCCTCCCGCTGCCTGCATCCTGCTGCCAGATGTGCAAAGGTGAGTCTGTCCCTAGGTCTGGCAATGCCCACCCCCCCCACCCCAGGGACCTCGCCACGGACTGTTAGAGGTGGAGAAACCTCAGCTAGGGAAGGACAAATGGCTTGAGCAGAGTGAAGTGCACAGATGGTCAGACTGTTCCCTGTGGGTTGGGTTAGTCCAGGAAAGCTTCCTGGAGGAGACAGGACTGGGGGAAGGGAGTACTTCACAGTAGAATGCTTCCCCAGATGTTGGCATTGTGGAAGGGCACTGGACAGGTGACTCCAGTTTAGTCCTGGTTCTTCCAGCAAATTCCTACAGATCCCTGTTCCTCTTTGAGCCTCAGCTATGTCATGTGTGCACTGAGAGGTTGGCCTCAGTGATTTATTTATTTATTTATTTACTATTTAAAAAAAAATTTTTTTGGGGGGGGGCGCCTGGGGGGCGCAGTCGGTTGAGCGTCCGACTTCAGCCAGGTCACGATCTCGCGGTCCGGGAGTTCGAGCCCCGCGTCGGGCTCTGGGCTGATTGATGGCTCAGAGCCTGGAGCCTGTTTCCGATTCTGTGTCTCCCTCTCTCTCTGCCCCTCCCCCGTTCATGCTCTGTCTCTCTCTGTCCCAAAAATAAATAAACGTTGAAAAAAAAAATTAAAAAAAAAAAAAAAGAGAAAAAAAAATTTTTTTTAATTTTATTTATTATTGAGAGACAGAACATGAGCATGGGAGGGGCAGAGAGAGGAGACACAGAATCCAAAGCAGGCTCCAGGCTCTGAGCTGCCAGTACAGACCCTGACGCAGGGCTCGAACCCACAAACTGCAAGATCATGACCTGAGTCGAAGTCAGATGCTTAACCGACTGAGCCACCCAGGCGCCCCTGGCCTCAGTGATTTCTAAGGGACTGTCTAATTCCAGGGTTCTTGGTCTTTGAACCAAGAATGCTTGGAAGGAGCCGGACCATGTGTGAGGCAGGGGCTAGAGAGAGAGAATCCCACTCGGGGCCTTGTGTGCTGGCACCCCGGGGTGAGTGGGAGACAGAGCTCTAGGGTGTTTCAACTAGGACACAGGGGACTGGAGGCGGGTACCTGGGAGGGTATAGTATAGACCAAGGCCTGGTGACTTCATATGTGGCTGGATACGGTGGCTCCCCAGGGGACTGCAGCTAAGCAGGCTCTAGGGATGGGATTCTGGGCCCTTGGGTCACCCATGATACGCACTGAACAAGAATGTCTGGCCCAGCCAAGAGGGAGTGTAGGGAAACGGAGGCAACAACCCAGTGTAGGGAATTTGTCAAGCCAACGGTGAAAAGCAGCTGTAACTAGAAGTGGGAATAAGTCCCCACTGGGGCAGAGGGCCCTGCCAGTGCATAAGGACTGCAGAAGTGTCACTAGGCCTGGGAGGTTGAAGGCCTGCAGGGCCCCTATCAGCAAGGCTTAGCAGGTGGAGGTTGACCCAACTTCCCTTTGGGTTTCCAGATGAGTCAAGTAAGAAATCAGCTGAAGAGGACACCACACAGTCACACCGTGGGGCGGTGAGTGCACAGCTTTACTGACAGGCTAGGGACAGGTGGTGAGGGGGGCTGGTATCCAGGGCCTAAATGCCATGACTCTGGAGCAGACAACACCAGTTGTTGTCCTCATTTCTGTTTTTGTCCCCTAGGTCAGCTCCATGCCCTCCACCACGTCCCAGCCCCTCTCCCTAGCCTCCCATCATGGCTGGTGGGTCAGCAGGGGCTGGGAACAAGTGCCATGCAGGGCAAGAGCAGGCTCTAAACTTCCCAGCTTCTCTCCTGAGAAACATTCTGACACTGACACTGTTCCATCTGGAGCCCGTATCTGTCCTTAGTTCAGCCTGCCTGTGGGCAGCACGTTCCCCAGAGAATGTGGCCTCTGTCCTGGCCCAGCCTTCCCCACCCAGCTCCTGTGGTACTGGTGCTTTGTCTGGGGGTTACCTCTCTGTCCTCCCCTCTGTCTTGGCCCCTCTCCGTCTTAGTCTAGAGTTAGGATGGGCTAAACTTTCCAGCTTTCTCTGGTCAGAGAGGAAAGAGGTATGAGGATGGGCTTACACACCGACTCAAGTCACCATCCACCCTCTGTGTTATGTCTACAATGTAAACAACTTCACCTCCTTTAGCCTGGGTCTCCTGGATCCCGGGGGACGGGAGGCTGACCTCCCCTGCTCAGGGACTCCCCAGGGGTCTGGCCTATGAGCTCTCCCTTCTCCTCTGCTGGCTCATCCTCCCTTCTCAGGCTGGGCCTTTTCAGGTGGAGCGGGGCTCTGTGCCGCAGAGCCTGAGCCAGGCCATCTCCTCGCCATCCCACCCTCTCCCTAGGAGGCAGCGTGCTAAGCAAAGCCCACCCAGGCTTAGTTCCAGGCCCTGAGCAGCTCCTTACTGGATGACGTGAGCAGGTCCCATTAGAGGGTTGAGCTTTTCAATTCCTTCTTGCTACTGTTCCACTTGACAAGCATTTCCTGGAAGCCTCCTATGTGCCTGGGCCTGTGCTGGGGCCTGAGACGGTTTCCTGGGAGCTCCTGTGGGCTCCGTCGGGCCATCAAAAGGCTGACTCAGACACTGTATGGGGCAGGAAGGGGCTGTAGAAGAAGGACTATGAGTGACTTGGTATTGGTGAGGTGGGTGATAAGCCCACCTGCTCCTACCCCTTGACCTCGAGCGCCGAATCCTCTTAACTAGGAGCTGTGATGCGCTTGACCCGTTACACTGCCCTCACCCCGTACCCTTTGCTATCACTGCTAGCCCTGCCAAGACCTGGTCCGGAAGGGCAGGGTTTCATGATCTTTTATTCCAGGGGCTCAAGAAAGGGGGCTCTGGAGACTTGGTCTCCAGATGGGACCTGTTCTTAGTCTTCCTGCCCTGTGGGATTCTGGGGCCTGGTGGGACCTTCAGAGGCCCATCCCCTTATCCCATCACCTAAATCTTCTCAAGGAATTTCCTGTCATCCTCACTACAGACCTGTAGTTTCTAAGTTTCCCAGGTTCCTAATTGCTGTGTCTCCCAGGTCAAGACCTCAGTACCCCTCTGTTCACCCCAGCCCCAAGGCCCTGGCTCTGATAGTCCTGAGAAGGGGTTGGTGGAGACTGGGTTTCCAAACCACTGTCCTCTGAGAGTTTTCAAATATCCATTGTCTGAAAACATCTTAGACCCCATCCAGATCTTTCTATCCCTAGCCTGTACCTCTCTTTACTAGGAAGTCATGCTGGTTTCTACCTGCAGGCCTCACTGCAGCTCTGTCTTGCGGCTCTTCTGCTGACAATGGCCCATCAGTGATCTTCATCCTTCCTGCCATTTGCAGAGACATTCCCAGGATCCGTGTTCAGGGGACAATGGAAGAAAGAGGGTCCTGGGCACCCCAGCTCCCACTGGCCTCAGTGCTCCTCTGGGCTTCATCCCTCGCCACTTCCGACCAAAGGGGGCAGGCAGCACAACAGTCAAGATTGTCCTGAAGGAGAAACATAAGAAAGGTGAGGACGGAACCTCCTCTGATCCCTGAGGTGGGAAAAGGGGGCCCCGACTGCTCCCACCTCCCACCCCCGCACCCCCACCCCCCACTCAGTGGTCCCCTGGTCTCAACTTGGCCATGAGCTTGTGGATTCACAAAATATCAAAACTGAAGGTGTCCTTAAGGGCATCAGGTCTAAGCCCCCATTTCACAGATGAGGACCCTGAAGTTCAGAGTACTGAGTGAGAGCCAGAACCAGTCCTAGAACCAGAACTATGGGTCAACACAACAATATTTTTTGAGCCTCTGCCATGTCTTTGCTGGGAATTGAGGGGCACAGAACAGAGAGATGAAAAATGGTCCCTGTCCTCGAGGGGCTCCAGACATGCAAATAAATTAATATAAGGAAGTGGAGAGGGAAAGTTTTTGACAAAGAAAGGAGGGAGCAGAGCTAGGCTGCAGCAAGATGGTCAGGATGCAGCAGGGAAGGAGGCCAAGTGGGCAGCAGAGGGGGAGGAAAGCAGGCTTACTGCAGGGGGACGCCCCCCCCCCCCCCCGCCCCAGACCGGTGGAGCAGGAGGAGCTGCTGTCCCAGCCCCTTTTGTACAGATGGGACACTGAGGCTAAGAAAGGGGAAGGGACCTGCCAGAGCTCACACAGCCAGGTAAGTGTCCGAACTTGATTTCAGCTCTCCTCCCACCAGACATGCTGTGACGGGCAGGGGGAGTACTCTCCCTCTTCAGCAAGAACTTTCTGGGCACGTGTCAGCTCTGAGTGCTGAAACAGGGGAGAAATCAGGGACAGGGGGCCAGGTCTGCAGCTGGCCTCAGCTTTACAAGCAGTGTGGCTGGGCCAGACTGGTGGAGCAGGGGGATCCCCAAGGCCCAGCCCCCACCCATCACTGGACTCTGGCCCAGGTCTGAGGCACTGACCCTCCTCCCTTCCTGCCCTCCTTGGCCTAGCCTGCGTGCACAGTGGGAAGACATACTCCCATGGGGAGGTGTGGCACCCAGCTTTCCGCTCCTTTGGACCCCTGCCCTGCATCTTGTGCACCTGTCAGGATGGCCGCCAGGACTGCCAGCGGGTGACCTGCCCCACTGAGTATCCCTGCCATCACCCTGAGAAAGTGGCCGGAAAGTGCTGCAAGATTTGCCCAGGTACAAAGAGATGCTGGAGGCAGGGAGGGCACTGCCCTGAGTGGGCCCTGGGTCCCTCTCCCCAGGGCACAGATACTTGGAACATCTCCGACACAGATGGGGCAATGGACTCAGAGCCATAGGATGCAGGGTTTTTAGATGCACTCGAGTGGAAAATGCCAGACTCACAAAATATTAGACTTATGGAATATCTAATGTTATAGTGACAGATTCAGAGGCTCTCAGTCAAATACACAGAATCAAATAACGTTCTGGGTTCTTTGAAATCATAAAATCATAGGATGTTAGGACTTTTAGGAGGAATAGCCAATGTTTATTGTGCATTTACCATGAGCCAAGCAGGCATTTTACATGTGGGAGTTCATGTACTCCTCACCACAAATGGACAGGGCAGGTATCTTTGTCTCCATTTTACAGACCAAGAAAATAAGTGCCCTGTCCAAGGTCACACAGCTCAAATGACAGTTGGAATCTGAACCCAAGTCTGTCGTACTCCAAAGACAATGCTCTTGACCACTGTTGTCTTCCTTTAACCTTCATCTACATATGGGTAAACTGAGACCCAGAGAAAAGAAGGGACTTTCTAAAGTCACAGAGCAACGTAGTTGTGGAGCTGGAATTAGAACTCAGGCTTCCAGACTTGCCAGCTGAGTTCCTCTAACGCTGTCATGAGACCCTAGGATTAATAAGTGTGCAGAAGAAAACATCAGAGTATCTCATTGGGAGGAACAGCCTGTGATTGTCAACAGTAGCTGTTGTGAGGAACAAGCCCATTCCCTCAATCCTGGAAGGAGAGCCGGTGGGGTAGAAGGTGCGGGCTGTGTTGTGCCTTTACCACTTCTGGTTAGAGGGCTGGGTTGGCAAAACAAAAAGGAGAGGAATGGGGAAGAAAAAAGGGGAAGGAAATGTGTGTCGAGAACCTACTGGCACCAGGTATTGTCCTGTGATTTCACCTAGTTCAATTAATCCTCATCTCTCAGCTGTTTTACAAATGAGATCACAGAGTGGCTGCAATCATCTTAAGTCTGCACCTACCCCAGGCTTTGACGTCAGGAAATGTGAGTCTATGTGAGCTTGCTTACCGACGGACTTCCCTAACTTACCGTTGTGAGCTTAGACAAGTTACTTTCCTTTCGGAGCCTCAGACAGAGTTGATGAAAAATGCTTTATAAATTGTAAATCAACATCCAAACAAAATCCAAATATAAGGGGTCACTATTGTTTTTCAGAGTAATATGCTATTGGGACAGGGTTAGGGACAGAGCATGACAGAATGGCACCTGGAAGAAAACGAGGGGTGGGGCTTCAACTTGGATTCTCTTGGAGACTGGCTGTCGTTCACTGCTGGGCTCCCTCACAAACACACTTGATCTTGGGCTCTGCCACTGGAACCCAGTCCATTTCCTCTTAAAAATATGGAGACTGTAGCCTTACAACTCTTAACGGGACATCTCTAAGAGTTTCATAACTAGGAAGAATTTAGAAGGAAGTGTGTATGTTTAGGGACTTAGTCCTTTAGTCCCTGAAAAATAGGGAATGTTGGTACATGGAAAGTTCCAGGAAATGTCCTTGGAATGCCAACATGTCCAGGCTTTAGGACTGGATCCAACCACTGTCGCCATCACCGCTCCCCGCTACACCCTTACGGTCCCCTCCACCACTACAGTCACACCATCACCTCCACCACCCTCCGTCACAACCATGATCATCACTATTGCCATCATCACCTCAACCCCTCCCAAACCTTTCACTCCATGTATGGTCATGAGAATCTGTGTTTGGTGATGTGGGTGACTCAAAAGACTTGGAGGACATGGCTCCTGGCCTTCACCCTGTGGGTCTCTTTTAGAGAAGAACATACCCAAGTGAGACAGTTACAAGGCAATGCGTGTCAGTGAGACTAAGGGCATGAGTGGGAGGCATAAGCAAGAAGGGCTTTAAAGGCCGCGAGTGGAGAAAAAACAGGGTAGGCTAAGCTGTTCCAGGTCGGCTGCCTGGAGAAGGTGGAAGGTGAGCTGAGCCCAGAAGGATGAGAAGGTTTTAATATGCTAATCAATGGGAAGTGAATGGGAGAAATGCCCCATCTGTTTCCCAGGGGCACCAGAACTTTCCCAAAGACCTTAAAGACCGGAGGGGGGTGTCAGACCAGGGTCCCAGCTTCCTGGGCATACCAGGCAGGGGTCGGGAGGAGGGGTACAGAATGTTCACAGCTCCTTGTCTTTCCCAGAGGACAAGGCAGACCCTGGCCACAGTGAGATCAGTGCTACCAGGTGTCCAAAGGTGCCAGGCCGGGTCCTCGTCCACACATCAGTGTCTCCAAGCCCAGACAACCTACATCGCTTTGCCCTCGAGCATGAGGCCTCTGAGCAGGTGGAGATCTACCTCTGGAAGCTGGTAAAAGGTGAGCATGGGCCCACTCCCAGTCAGACTTACCTCTGGCCTGTCCCCCTGTTATCAGGGGCCTCCGGGGCCTATTTTGTTGATCAGGTGCCTCTAGCCCAGGGAGACCTGCCTCTGGCTACCCTTCCAGATTTGAGTCTCTGATTCCAAGGTAGAGGGAGACTGGAGATTCTGTCTGTGATTCTCTGGCAGTTCTGATAAGCTCATCCAGGGCCTCCCAGTGCTCCCTCTCCTGGGGGGAAGGGGTTGTTGCACTTGCAAGGAGCCAGGACAGGGTAATGCCTACAACCATGAAGCAAAGGCCTATCAGTAGAACTTCAGCACTCTGTGAGGGGAGATCTTTTCAGGCAGAAGGACATCCACAGCCTCCTCAAAGCAGGAGGGCCTTCAGGCTCATTTGGCCTTTTCTATTGGGTGGAGTCTATCCCTCTATATGAGAATATATGTCTCATTCTGTGAGAAACTCGCCCAATTCAACAAGATACTCCTATCACCGGGTGAAGGTGAAGAGGAGTTTTCATTGATGAGGAAATTGCTGAGAATTTGGTTTTCTGGGCACTTCTTGCCAAATATAGATCCCCTGGGTAGAGCAAAACAAACTAAACCCTTTAAGTGGGGTTTAGCTATAAGGTCACTTTTCTCTACTGATGGGTCTTGCTGAAATGGGTGGGGGTGGAAGAGGGAATGATAATAACAATGATAATGATAATGACAACCAATGTGTGAAGCACTTTAGAGTTTACAAAGTGCTTTCACATTCATTATCTCATTTGATCCTCAATGATCCTGAGAGTTAGGTATTATTATCCCCATTTTACAGATGAGGAAACTGAGGCTCAGAGAGGTGAAGTACCTGGCCCAAGGCCACACAGCCAGTAAGTGGAGGATGGGAGCTAGAGCCCATGTCTTGTGACGTCAGATGCGGCTCTTTCCCTGCTCTACTCTGCCTCCTGTCCTAGGAGGAATGGACGAAGAAAGCGGAGCTGTTCAGCCTGGAGAAGAGAAGACTCAGGGGGACAGGACTGCTGGCTTCATGGCTCTGAAGGACTGCCCCAGGAAGGGGGAGCTGTTGTGTTCTGAGTGAACAACAAACAGGGGCTTTGGAATCAGACAGACCTGAGTTCGAATCCTGGCTCTGCTATTTCTTAACTGTGTGGCCTTGGGCAATCACTTGACCTCTCTGGGCCTCAATTTTTTCTTCTGTTAATTGGAGAGGAGGGTGTTTGGAGGATTAGATGAAATCACATAGGTAGAGCCCCGACCTATAGTAGGTGCTAACGACGTTAGTATCCTCATCCCACATCCTCTTAGAATTGTAGAGAAGCACATTTCCACCAATGAGAGGAAGCAGTTTGTCATACCTTGACAGTTGCTGTCAAAGAAGGGCGGGAGCAATCTCCATTCACAGGAGTGGGCAAGCAGTGGCTGGGTGGGCGTTCTGCCACAGCTGAGGAGTTAGATTTAGTAACCTTATAATTATTTTATGCCTTGAAACTCCATCAGCCCCTGGACAGGTGCTGGTTTACTCCAGACCTCCCCTCACCCCCAGCAAGGACTGGGACCCCAGGGAGTAGTAAGCCCCAGCCTCTGTCTTTGGGAGCCCAGGACTTAGTGACTGGGATGCAGTAGGAGCTCACCAGGAGCTGAGTTGTTCAGGCTGGAAGGCTTCGTGGAGGAGGGGCCTGCAGCTGGTTAGGAGTTAGGAAGGCACGAGGAACACATTGCAGGCAGAGGTGGCAGCGACAGCCTCAGACTGGCCCAAGAGCCTGTGCTGACATACACCGTGCTCTGTGATTGGTGTGGAGCTCGCCCTATGCATAATGTGTTTCATTTCATCCATATAAGAAACCTGAGGCATATGTATTAATGCACCATTTTGCAGATAAAACGGAGTCTGAGAGGTAATATGACTTGCTCAAAGTCACACAGTTTATTTAAGCAGTAAAGCAAAGATTCAAACCCAGGTCTGACTGTCCCCAGTGCCACCTCCACGGAGGTGACCTAATGCTTTCAGAGAGGCGCCTGAGGAAGGTCAAGGTGTGTCCAGGATGGCACAGACCGGAGAGTTGTAGCTCAAGGCTGGTCTCGTTATGACCAGGCCCAGCAGAGAAAGAACAGGTGGTGGGGACTCTTCAACTTCACAATGCCAGGCTGTACCATCCTGTCACTAGCAAACACCTCCTCTCCATCTCCTGACCCCCTGGGCGGCCAAATTGCCTCATTAGCCTCTCTGTTACCTCCCTGTTCCAGACTGCGGGGGTCAAAACAAACACTCCAAGGGCTGACTATCAGTGGGAAACCCTGTTTCCTCACCCAGAGGAGCAGAAACAGCAGGCCTTGGGGGCAGGGAGAGGAAGGGGAGAATTGGCCTGGAGACAAAGGCATCAGGTGGACACCAAAACCTGGGCTAAGTGAGGCCACATCACCGTGGAGCCAGCCTCAGTCCCCAGAGGCTTGGCTTAGTGTTAAGAGCCTTTTAGATTCTGGAGTTTCAGAGTAGAAGGGACCTCAGGGGTCTCAATTCCAGCCCCTGTCTAGGAAGGAAGTCCCCCTAGAGCCTCCCCGATGGTCTCTAGCCCCTGACGGCACATACCCCACCCCATCTCCACTGTGGATGGCTCCACTGAGAAAGGGTTTGTTTTCACATTGAGCTGAGCCTGCCCTGTCTCCTGGGACTCACCTGCCAGTGCCGTCTCTGCCCTGGGGGTCCACAGAGCCCAGCTGCCCTCAGACCTGGCATGCCCTCAAAAGGCATGACCATGCCCCTCAGGCTAGCTCTTGATTCCAAGTCCAAGAGCTCAGTCATTAGGATCGTGCTTTATAGGCTATGGTACGAAGACCCTCCCTCATCCTGTCATCTCTCCAATCTGTGTTCTGGGGTATGTGCCATGTCAGGCCTGGCAGAAGAACCATCTGAGGTTTGTGACGTAGCCTGGGCCTTTGGAGTGAGTCTCTCCCATATCCTGGTCCTTGGCATCTGGACTGGAGGGTCCTGAGAACAATGCTGGACATTCCCAGCCTCCTGGACCTTAGTGCTGCCCATTCTCCTCTGTGGGATCCTACTCAGATTTCCACAAGCAAGGCCAATTCTTAGTTTTCTTGAGGGCTGTGCTGGCCTAGCAGAGACCTTGCTGTCACATCTGTTCTTTCTGGCCACAGACCCTGGTGCTAACAGCTGGTGCAACCTCCCAGCCCATGTACTCAGGGCCTCAGTGCCATGCGTGGTGCCTGTGGCGAGCTCCCCATGGGATGCAAACATCAGGAGATCCAGATGATACCCTGTTCCTCTCTAGGGCCTGGCCTAGATTGGGTACACATATATTTACTTATCCATCCATTCATTTAGGGATTTATTCATTCATGTATTCATTCACTTATTCATTCATTCATTTATCCTACATGCCTAATGTGGGCCAGGCTCAGGGGAGCCAGAGAGGAAAGCCTTCCATGAGTAACCAGTCTAGTAGGGGAGACAAGAATAGACACAAGGAGAGGACATTAGAAATAGGCCCAATCACAAACACAAGCTAAGAGCTGTGGGTGCCCCAAGGAAGGGAAATCAAGGAAGACTTCCCAGCTAAAGCTCAGAGAATGAGCAGGAGTTTACCTGGTGGCAGCAGGACAAACGGAAGTCAATAGGAGAAGGAGTTGTAGCAAAGGGGGCAGCCTACGTACAGGCTTGGGCCCCTCAAGGACTTTAAGTAGTTGGTTAGAGCTGGAGCACAGGAAGGCCTCTCAGGGGTTGGGCAAACAGAACCTTGTGCTGAAAGGGGGCCCTACCACTCTGACACCTGATGCTCTTTGGAGTCTGATAAACACACCTACTGATTTTTATCACACATTCTGTGCCCAAAAAACAGCCTGACCTGTCCACACAGCCCCCCCCCCCACCACACACACACACATTGTGGACAGGTGAGTAGTGTGAGAGCAGGACGCTGAGGGTGACAGGTGCAGGGTCAGCAGGGAGGTGATGGGAGGTCAGGGAAAGGGAATGACAGGTAACATATGTTTTCGAATGACTGCAGTTAGGATCACAGACTGGAGGGGGAGTAAAAGGGGCCAGAAGTCTAGTGTAGTGACCCAGGCAAGATGTGATGGGGCCCGGATGGGGAGAGTGGCAGTGGAGATGGGAGGATAGATTCAAAACCTTTAGGAAATTTAGTCTACAGGGTTTGATGTCTGGTCAGAATAGGGGAGGGGAAGGGGAAGGGGAAGGCAGTGACTAGGTCCAGTCTAGGTCCAAGTCACCCTGTTTCACTGACCGCACGGCCCTACCTTTCCTGCTCATGCCCTTGCCTCTGCCCTCAGGAATCTTCCACTTGATTCAGATCAAGAAAGTCAGGAAGCAAGACTTCCAGAAAGAGGCACAGAACTTCCGGCTACTCCCCAGCACCCATGAAGGTGAGACGTCGGGCTGAGGACTGGGGCCTGGGAAAAGAGCCCGGCCAGAGGCCAGGGCCTCATGAGGAGTTCCAGGCTGCTGGTGCTGGGAGGGGGGCAGGGTGGTTGTCAGCCACAGACGTCAGTTCCCGGCACAGGAATCCAGTGGGCGTCTGGGCCAGAGATTTCTCAACTCAGGGCGCTTGGGAGCGGGAAGGTGAAGCAGAACCATCTGGATTTGGTCCTGGGAGTGAGGGAGACAGGACTGTGGAGGAGGGAGGCCTGAGCCCTCAAGCCCCAATGCTGCCTACCCACGCTGTATTGGAACGTTTCCCGCTGAAACCCTCCTAACCACTTTCCTTCTGATGCCCTTCATTTGCTCTACGGTATCCCAGGGAAGACGGATCCAGGTGGGGCTTTAAGTGGGAGAGAGGAAGCCACAGATGGGAGTGTCACTAACAGGTGTTAGGAAGCCAGCCCAGCCCCCAGATGCTGGTTGGTTGAAGTTGGGGTCACGTGCCAGAACTGACTGGGATGTGGGGTTATGATGGAAATATCCATCCCCTTCCTCCTATGCGCTCCAAACTCAGGCCCTCACCGTTCTTCTTGTCCCAAGTTTTTCCCACCCCATTCACTCTGCCTCTTTTGTGCACATGCATGCACCCCTGCACACACACATACACACCCCCCTCAGCCCCCCCCCCACACACACACACATACACACACCCCTCTGCTTTCCTCCATGCAGGTCACTGGAACGTTTTCCTAGCCCAGACCCCGGAGCTGAAGGTCACAGCCAGTCCAGACAAAGCATCCAAGACCTTATAATAAAGACCTAAACAGTTGCAGATATGAGCTTTATCATTTTTGTTGTTATATATTAATAAATAACAAGCTGCATTACCCCTCAATCCTGCCTGCTGAGTTTTATGTCCAGTCCCCGCATGTTCCCACAGGGACTACAAGGCGGGCCTGCCCATCCCCATTTTGCAGGGCTAGAGACTGAGATGCAGCCGAGGCAGAGACCGGCCCTGTCCTCATGGTGAATTGTTACCGGAGCCAGGGCTAGCTCCCCCAGCCTCACTGCCCAGGCCTTTGTCTGCTGCCCGTGGCCTCCCCCCTGCTCTGTACTGCTTCTGTCCCTGTCCCTGGCCCCCCAGCTATGGCTCCTCCTGCTTTTATGGGCGGCCCCCCTCCTGGAGCTCATTGGCACTGAGCCTAGGAAAGGGACTGCCTCTAGATAGCCAGTGGAGGGGGAAATGGAGCCTCAAAGCACTTTGCCAGCAAATCTTCCGGGGATCCTTACGATTGTCAGCCCCATTCTACAATGAGGACACTGAATTTAGGGAGCAGCAGTAGTTTGCCTGAAGCCACAGAGCGGGGCGGTGGCAGAGGTAAAACTGGTGCCAGGTCTCTTGCTCCAGGCTAGCCCCCCCCCCCCCCCCCCCGGTCCGCCGTGACCAATGTCATAAACCCAAATATTCTCACCTCCGAGGATTTCCAAGACTTGGCCGTCAAATTGCCAACCCCGGCACCACCATCTGGGAAGAAAGCCTAACAGTTACAATGAAAGACAACATTAATAATTTATCCTGCCTACATGCACCATTACCTGCAATTTCAAAGATGTTTTAATGCTCATAATTCCACTTAAGGTGAACGAACAGTGTAGGAATCACCCGCACCTTAGAGAGAAGGAAACAGAGGATCAGGATCGGCCAGTGTCTTCCCTCAAAACTTCACAGTGACAACAGGTGAGGCCAGGACTAGACCTCAGCCTACGGACTCCCAGACCCATGGTCTTGCTCCAGGACAGAGCTGCCCTCCACCCCAAGCCTGTGGGAAGCTGTGGAGAGGTGATGTAAAGTGGCCTATGGGCTGGAGTTCTGCCACCTGTAGTCACTTGGAGGGCTCTGACTATTGTTTCCAGAGTCTTGCTCTTTGTACCCGGGTGTCTGAGGGAGGCCTGGGAAGTCTGCTAAGCAGCCTATCACTGCCGCCCTCACTGAGCAGGGGCCAGTGTTGCACTGCCCAAACTCCCCCTGCGAGCTCCCACGGGTCTGGTTTGAGAGTCTGGGGTTTGAGGAACATGGCTGGAATCTCCCCCTCCTCCCCTGAGTAGGAAGACGTTAGCTCTTCACAGCCTCCACCTGTCCATCCAAGAGAAGACAGCATTCTGGCCTTGCTCGCTCACCATGTAGGGTTAGCTCGGAACTCCGGGGACGATGAACTCTGAGCATCTCACATTTAAAGCGCAGGAATCTGAACGCTCAGCCATTTACGTCGTGAACTCCGTCAGCCATCAACTTGGCTCAGGTGTCTCTTCTCAGGAAAGTTTTCCTGGATACCCCCACCCCCGCCCCTGCACAATGGCCCCTCCCCTCTGCTGGAGAATGGGGTTGGAGGCAGGACTCTGTAATCAGAAGTGGCTCCGGGCCTCAGCACGGGAATGGACTTCCCTGTATACTTTCCCTGGTATTGCAGGCCAACTGCCTTCCTGGTTTCTTTGAGGGGCTTATCCGAAGCCTGTGTGGTTCACCCCAAACCTTTTCCGCCATGGGAGACACGTTCAGCATATCAGCATCTCCTCCTTTGGGTCCAGACGTTTCTGAGTGTGCACACACAAGGCTTGCCTTGGGAACCGCTCAGCAGCTTTCTGGTGGTTTTACACCCCTCTGACTTGTTGTCTTCCCCTTGCGTGTGTTCGTTCGTAAAACACTTGCTAAGCTGCTCTGCGATAGGACATTATGCTAGACGACCCACACAGTGTAAGGAACCAGCCCGGCTCTGCCTGTCCTTAGGGAGCCAAAGTCTTGAGGAGGAGATGGGGCATCACAACACCTTGTCACCTGGTGTGACAACAGGGCCATGGGGAGCACAAGCTTGCCCAGACTGAGCCGCTTCAGCAGGCTCTGAAGGATGAGGAGGATGTGAAGAAAAGGTGGAGGGAGGGAGACGGCGCAGGGAGAGACATGCATGGAAGATGTAAAAAAGCATGTCATAGGGAGAATCACCAACAGCTCACTGGACAGTTTGAGGCAGAGCTAAGGGAGGTGAGGCTGAAGACCCAGCTGAGAAGCTCTGGCTTCATCCGAGGGCAGCCACGAGCCGTGGAAGGGTTTCAGTGCCTGGGTCAGGTCTGTGGGTTAGCAAGCTGGCTCTGGTTGCTGGGTGAAGACCAGCATGGCCGAGCGAGGCAGACACCAGGCACGAGGCTGTTGTGAGAGTCCTTGCGAGGGATGACGACGGCCTGGGCAGGAGAGAGGAGGTGGGGCTAGAAGGGAAGGCCACGCTAATGACGCTAATGGAGGACTGGATGAGGGAGAGGGAGGAGGGTAGGGCGCAGCTGTGTTTCACATGGGGCCTGGGGAAAAACTCAGAAGATTCAGCTGAGCACACGTTGAGTCTCAGGAGATACCCCTGGCTCGTGGGGTATATTATGGATCTGGGAGAAGGCTTGGCCAGAGACAGGGGTTTGGGAGCCATTGGCCTGCAGGTGGTAACTGAAGCCAGGAGGTGGGTGGCACCAGCCTGGGAGAGACTGTAGAGTGAAGAGAAGAGACAGACGAGCATCAGCAAAGGAACCACCGTGGAGGCAAGAGGGAAGCCAAGAGGGTATGGTGGCGGAGAGTTCAATCACACAAGGCCTGGAAGGGCCTCCCTCCGCCCCCAGGGGTGAGGGGGCTTCTGGTGCCTGTGGAAATGGGCAATGTCAGGAGAGCTGGGAGGCAGGAACAGGTTTTGGGGGGCTGAGGTGGTGTCAGGGAGGTGGGGAAACAGACAAGTCTTTGAAGAACCTTGGTGGTAAAGGAGAGGGGAGAAGCAGAGCAGTGGCTGGCAGTGGACATGGATGGAAGAAGTGGGTTTCTCAGATGGAAGAGATGTAAGCAAGCCTTGGTGATGATTCCTCATCACCTCCTCACAGGACAGGGGAAAGGAGAAGGAACAAGAGAGTGGAAGAAGGGAGGTTTAAGGACAAGTTAAAATCTATGCTGCCTCAGCCACTAACTCACTGTGTAACCCTGCTGGTCTCCCCATGTGTGTGATGACAGAGAAGGAAATGGTGGTCTTCCAGGACTACCCAGACTTCCACTCGTGAGGCTCCCAGAGATCCCAGCAGGGAGTCCTACTTGGTGGCCAGGCTAGGCACAGGCTGGGCCCTGGATGAAAGAGTGACGTCCCCTCCCCCATGCCCGGCCATTAGATAACAAGGCACATTCAAGTCTGTTGTTTCATCTGATCCTTAGGACAACCCAGTGAGATGGGGACTGTCAACCATATTAAGAGATGAGGAAACTGAGGCACATACAGGGAGAGGAAATGACCTAACCAAGATCACATACTGGTAAATGGAGGGGTTGGATTCCAGCTAAGGTCTGTCATTCTGTACCCTGATGGATCCCAGAACACTGGAAGTGCCAGGTCCTGGGCTGGGGCAGGTGCAGCTGACCTGGGCTCAGAGCCTCCACCTTCCCAGGTAGCTTCCTGGCCCCCAAACCTGATAGTGCAATTATGATGCCAAGCCTGGCCTCCGGGTTTCCTCCTCTTCCAGTAGCTATGAAGCCACCTCCCCCTGTCCCCCCACGAACCCTGGGCTCTGGGAAATGGCAGTATTTCTGAGAAACAGGACGTGGCCTGTGGTTTGGGGCTGGCTTGGGGGTAAGGGAAGGCCTGGGGCCCCACCAGGCACAATGGCATCTCTCGGCAGGGCAGGCCCAGCCACCCCCCTTCCCCTCACCCTGGTCCCTGGAAGACACCCTGCCTGCCTTCTCCTCCTGTAAGGCCAGTTTATAGAAGATGAACAGGAGGTATTGCAGGAGGCTGATTGAAGTTGGAAGGGGGTGGGGTGGCATGGATTTCTGAGTACAGAAAGTTATCTCAGACCTTCTAGAGTGGGAATTAGGACCTGGATCTCTGGCCCCAGCTCAAGGCTGCTTGAATGACCATATCACATCAGAGGCCTTCCCCCAATCCTACCTTTATCACCTCTGGCACAAAACAGAGCCACAAGATTTGCCCAAAGTCCAACAGCAACCTACAGTTGGGCTCTAATGGAGCCCGCAGGGTCTGACTCCCACATTCATTCCCCTCTCCGTGCCCCATGATGTTGGGGCTAGGGGTGGAATCAGCCTTCCTATCAGCTCCCCTGCTGCCAGCAACCCCCTCCCCTTCCCCTTCCCCTTCCCAGCAAGTCTTACCCACCAACCCAGAATGATCTTTCAGAAACACAAATCTTACCCTGTTTCCTTCATTAAGCCCCTTCTTCGATACCTTCCCTCCTGGACCCCTGAAGATCTGATTCTTGCTGCCTTTTTTGCCCCCAGTTCCCCCATCATCTGTCCCAGCAGCGCTCCAGGGTCCAGTTTGCTGCCCTACCTGACCCAGGTGGGATGCATCTGGGCTCCAAGAAGACCTGAGGCACAGACTCTGACACCATCACGACATTCTGTTGACCCCTGCATACCAATCTGTTCTTCCCAACCAACTCTTTCAAGAAGCAGACAGCACACTGCACTGCTCAGGTGCCTACTAGCTCTCAATCAGACAGGGTACAAAGGATCTGCCCTTCCAATGCCTATAGAAAGATTCTGGGGAACAACTCTGGTTGGTCCATCTTGGGTACATAGATGGTGGTCTGGGCTGAGGTATCAGCATCATGATTGGAGTTGGGGGAGGGTGGGGAGCAGTTCCCTCAAATAAGGAGGTGGCACCCACACACAGTCACTGCAGGGATCCCTGTTCCCAGTCACCACCACTACAATTTTGGATCACTTCTGAAACCAGTGTCCTTGCTTCCACACCTTACACATGCTATTCCCTCTTTCTGGAGTGCCTTTCCTTAGTCCCTTCCTGCAGTATTCCAGCTTATGCTCCAAGTCCTCCTCAGAAAAAGCCCTCACTGGGCCTCCCTGCTGCCCCAACATCATATGCCCTTCGGTAACCAAACTCATGCTTTTGTATTGCAATGATGTGTTCCTGAGCCCTTCTCCCACTGGACAGTAAGCTGCTTGAGCCAGAGACCACGTGGTGGTTATCTTTCCATCCCCAGCCCCTGGTCCACAGGAGGCATTCAGTGTATGCTTACTGAAGAAGGAAATGAGGGAAGGAAGAATGGCATTAATGGTGAAGACAACAGTGAGACGTGGCTGACTCCTGACATATAGCAGGTGCTCAGTAAGTGGTTGTTGAGCCCTTGAGTGATCACCACTACCATTCTCACCACCATTACCACTGCCACCACCACCAGGGCCGCACCTCACATTGTAGGGTCCAGGAAGGAAAACAAATGGGGCCTACACATCACACCCTACATATTTAAAAGTTACAAATCAAACTAATAAACTATTAAATAAATACAGTCTATCTTTCTACCTTGACAAATAAACCTTCTTAATGACTTGAAAGCCCAACTTCAAATCTAAAATCGTCTGACCTCTTCTTTGCCAGAACATGGAAACACATGGAGAGCTGGCCTTTGGCCCCTGACTTCCTCCTTTCAGTCCACCTCGCTTCTTATTTCAACTCTGTCCTGTAGTGTGAAGG